TCGATGATCGCAAGAACGATCTGCCTGTCCAAGATGGGCAGATCGTACTGGCCCCTTAGTTCCAGTGAAGGGAACTCTTAAGGCATCAGCACACCAAGACATTTTGGACAATTTCATGCTCCCAACTTTGTGGGAGGAGTTTGGGGCCGGCCCCTTCCTGTTCCAACATGACTGCGCACCAGTGCACAAAGCAAGGTCCATAAAGACATGGATGGGGGAGTTTGGGGTGGAGGAATTTGACCGGCCTGCAAAGAGTCATGACCTCAACCCCATAGAACACCTTTGGGATGAATTAGAGTGGAGACTGCGAGCCCGGCCTTCTCCTCCAACATCAGTACCGCACAAATGGTTCAACATTCCCATAGACACACTCCTAAACCTTGTGGACGCCTTCCCAGAAGAGTTGAAGCTGTTATAGCGGCAAAGGGCGGAGCCAACCCAATATTGAACCCTACGGACTAAGACTGGGATGCCATTAAAGTTCATGTGCGTGTAAAGGCGTCCCAATACTTTTGGCAATATAGTGTATATGTGCACAGTGATCAGCCGTATCTGATCTTTGTGCATGCGAATGCATCTTCCTTCTTTGTAGTGCTATTCAACCGTCGTGACTTACCGGACAGGCTGCCCGGACTCTCTGCAGTCAAAAAAATATAAAGGTGCACCAAAGCAAAACGTGTGCAAAGATTTATAGTTTGTTAGAAAGCAGCCACAGTCTGGGTAAAAAAGCCGGACCCCTGCCAGCATGCTGCAGAGAACTACCTTTGTGTGGAAGCTGTGGTCGCTCTGCAGAGGTCCGGCAGGCCCCCTGCTGATGAAGAAAGCTCGTGCTTCCTGTAGGATTTCCACGGATGAACTCTAACATTTTAGAATTGCCACGATTGCCACAACGTCTGACTCAGCGGTCACCAACAAAAAAAAACAGAGAGAGTGAGAGAGAGTGAATGTTCTCAGCAGGAACAAAGACAGCAATAAAATCCCGGCAGCGGTTTTCACGCTTCCTCCTTCTATATCCAAAACTAAGAAATGTTTTGGCTTTACATGCACTTTAAGAGAAACACTGCAACGTTAAAGCTGATGTTATATCTGATTATATTTTGCCTTCCCTGGTTATCGGTTGTGCGCAGAATCCTGATTGGCTGGCTGGATGCGCCAGTTCTCTCCAATGCAAAAACAAAATCAGCTTCCACGTATTCAGGTCATGTGATATTCAGGGTTTCATCCAATTATAAATCAATCAGCTGATTTCTGATAGGAATGATTGATTTATCTCGCAGTTGTCTGCTGCCAGTCGGATCTTGTGCTATAATATATGAGAGGATTTTACATGCTGAACATTTGTGCCCGCGCCAAGTTCCCGCAGTACAGTAGCCTCAGCAGCCCTGCCAGCATCGCTCTCCAAATATCCCTGGTAGTGTTTACTTATGGGCAGCCCTCCAGGACTTCTAGAACTTCTCTGCCGGAGTCACATTCACCCCGTAAAACCCCTGTGTGCCTCATGCAGGGTCAGGGTGCTCCTGCCTATATAATGTGTTATGATGGTTCGGGGGCAGGGGTGTAACTACAAATCATGGGGCCCTATAGCAGAATTTTAAAGGGGCCCCTTCCCCAGGTAACTCTTCCCGCTGGCTGTGTCAGCTGAGACAGTATGTGTCAATGAGCATAACATAAAGTATGTCAGCATAGTCAGCACACTAAAAGGGAGCAGTGCTGGGGATAGAAGTTATAGTTGTTGTATTATTAATAATAATAATGAAAAATCTTGTATTTTAATAATAATTATAATAGTAACATTCAAGATGGCGGCACCCAGCAGCCTAAGGGTTTTTGGATGTCTATACATGGGAGGTTTACAGGTAATTTAAACCATGCTTAAAATATGATGAATGCACATGATGGGGTTCATTTATGAAAGCTCGCCGGACACATGGCACTAGCACCCCTAGATGGCACTGCCAACTATAGCAATTTCCTATACTCACCAGCGCCATCTAGGGGGCTCTATTGCCATGATGGAACTTTTATAAGTGAAGCCCATAATCCTGGAGGAAGGTTATTGTTACAATGAATTTCATGGTGACAGGGTCTTTTTCATGAACCCTACACACCTTGGCTTGGCAATCGGTGGCATTTGTCAGGTGACCAGTGAATGATTGCACTGCTCCTTCATTGGTCAGTCAGCAGGCTTGGGGGAGTGTCCCTGACCCAAGCTTTGCAACTGCTGCAGTGGAGGTCAAGGCAACGGAGGAGCACCAATACTGTATGAACAGAATTAGAAATCCTTCGGCAGTTCCTATATATTTATTATATATATTTGTCGTGTGCATAAAGCTGCTCGCCCGGAGTTCAGCTTTAACCCAAATATGCCATTTAGAATATTTGCTGGAAGTCAAGTAAGGCTTCTGGGAATGAGCTGGAGACCCGGTCTGGCTCTGAGCGAGCATTCATTGGCTGGCACCGACCCCTGGAACGGTCAAGGACAGGAAAGAAGGCAGCGCGTCGCATCACAAAATGAGCGTTCATTTTATATATAGATATATATTAGGGTTGCACAGATACCAAGTACAGTACTCGGTACAAGTACGAGTACATGTACCGATACTTTTGAGCTCCAAGACTACACTAGAGAAAAATTCAAAAATTAGGAGGCCGCTGTCATTTGTAAGGAGCACACGGAGCTCCCGGGATTTGTACATCTCTGTTTTAATGTACGATTTTGTTTTTATAAATATAAATAAAGGGATGCACAGATACCAGTTTTGCGAGTACGAGTACTGGTACTTGCCGAGTACTTACAAGTACGAGTACTGATACATTTTTGTTTATTGTCATGTGACAGTTTTTCTAAAACAATACAGACTAATGATTTCAGGACAGTGGTGGAGTGCCAGAGCCCGGTCCCAGCCGCAACCACTGCAACCCTGGTAGTTCTCATGAAAATGCCAAGTATCTGCACTGGTACTCGAAAAGTATCTGTGCATCCCTAATATATATACATACATACACATACACATACATATACACACACACACACACACACACACACACACACTGGAAAATAGAGCAGAACTGAGAGGAGCAGAAACTGCAGCAAGTGAGAAAGTTCCTTCCTCTGATATAAATGGACACAATGTGATGAAATGGGAATTCCCTCTCTGGGATCTGATTAGAAGAATTCCGCGAAGTCGGAGTTTGCATGGAAGCTGATCAGACAACATGTTCCCGGAGTGGATGCAGAAAGAAAATATGCTTTTGTGAAAAAAAAGAGGGTGTGACGACTTCCATGTGGAAGTTTAAAACCCAGAGTCACCACTTTTTGTATTTGAAGAATAAAAGCAGCTTTCACTGCAGTACTCGCTTCCTCTTTGGCGCTATGCCCTGCAGACTCGCCGCTCTGCAATCCAGCGCTGTTCCTCCTCAGTCACCTGTTCCACTTCCTGTAAGGCCAGGGCGTCACAGACACATTTCTAGGATCACCTGCGTGATCACAGTAGCCTGGGCTCAAGTACTCCTGCACACGACGGTTATAACATCTTATTACAGGAGTGGGAAACTCTGGCCCGTCGGCTGTGGTTTACCTACAAATCCCAGCATTCCTCTGCCTCTGGGAGTCATGCCTGTAACTATCAGTCTTGCAATGCCTTAAGGGACTTGTAGTTCCACAACACCTGGAGGGCCAGAGTTGCCCACACCGGGATAAGCAAATATTGTCCTCCTACAAGAGTCATGTGTATTCTTCTTGAATCTTGGTGAGCTTTGTGTATTTCTTCCAGATCTGTGCAGTAATCCAGTGTGAGACTTGGAGCCTCCTGTGGGCTCCTCCCACAACTCTGATCTCTGCACAGTTTGCGTACAGCACAGTGATGGTGTCACTGCTACTTTTACAAGTCAACATCTGAGGTTGCAAAGGTATTTGGTGCATCTAATGTGGATATATTTTGTGGCTATTGAGGAAAATATTTAAAATGAAAGGTTTTGTGCCAGGAGTTCAGCTGTAAGCGCCGCTCTGTCTTGGAGTAAGGACCATCCACTGCTGTCCTTTAAAGAGACCCTGTCACCAACTAAAAGCCCCACTCCCCGTAGCAAACAAAAAATATTGTACTGATGCCCCCCTGCTCTGTAAGGGTTAAATGCACATGAAGTCTAGGGGTAAAAGAACAAGCTATTATAATGACCTCACTCCTCCCTCCAGCAGGCTTGCACCGCGCTGTGCAACCGGTCCTCTGAAACAAGGCATTCTGACATCATCATGTACAATGGGGGACCAGCGTTCTTGAAATGTTTGTCAGGATGTCGCACAACCCGCCATTTCCCTCTGATGCCAGTAAATACACTGCATCTGTGTGGAGCAAACAGCTGTATTAAATATTTTAAATGTCAAGTCGACTGTATGAGCTCTCCATATCTAAGGCCGCTGTAGAAGTGTCCAACTTGACCCCCATTTTCTTTACCTGAGGTCTGTATATAGAAGCATGCCTCATAAATTGCAGGCTCTCAGTTGTGACACTAGAGGGCGGTACACACCTACCCGTCATTCAGTGCCCAGACGCTGTAATGGATACAACTATGATCTGAGTGGTAGTGTGTCATAACAATCTTGGTTTTCATGTATACTTTTATCATCTTTCATCTATTAAGGTGGACAGCGTCTCTGTGAGAATTGCATTGGCCAACATTTGACTCTGCAGGTTAGATGAGGGGCTAAAGATCAACTTCACTCAAAAAAACATTTCAGCTTTATGTGAGGACACCCTGGGTTCAGTATGAGGTCCCTGTGTGACTGGACTAACCTCAACGGCACAAAGCTGAAATATCATTTATGGGTAGAGTTTGCCTTTTAGTTGTATCATTAGATTATATTCTGCTCCCACATTTGAGGTTCCATGTTGCACCCCTTGAAATCGGCAGACAGGGATGCTTTTAAATGGTTTACCCCTCAAAGAGGTCGCTGTGCATTTTATTGCCGTTCTTTGTTTCCGATCCCTGTGTGTGTGTGCGTGATGTACGTCGGGTCTAACGCTGCTCTCCTTTTCCTTTTCAGCGAACAGAGCATTTGTCAGGCGCGGGCGTCCGTCATGATCTACGATGACACCAGCAAGAAGTGGGTGCCTATCAAACCTGGGCAGCAGGGGTTCAGCCGAATCAACATCTACCACAACACTGCCAACAACACCTTCCGAGTAGTCGGAGTCAAGCTTCAAGATCAACAAGTACGTTCCGAGCGCTGATCAAGAGTTTTGTCAGGCTTCTATAGGCTAGCCTGAAGAGCAGGGTGCACGACAGGCTTTTAGAAAGCATTTGCTAAGCTTTCAGCAGCTTTCTTGAAGCCTTTAAAGCACCCTTCAGCTCCAGTTTGAATATGTAGATCTTAATGGGGGTGCTGGCTGTCACTTTAGGATGCTAGCAGTCTTCAGTTGACTTTTATGTCCATTTAAAGCTTGCTGGAAGTCTGCTAGCAGTGACATCCAGTGATCCCACTAAGGTTGGAATCTGCCGATCCCTGCACTGGCTTCCAATAGCCCAAAGGATAAAATTCAAAATGTTAACAATGACTTACAAAGCCATTCACAACTCTGCCCCCGGCTATATCTCACACCTTGTTTCAAAGTATCACCCTAACCGTCCACTCAGCTCTTCAAAAGACCTCCTGCTCTCTAGCTCCCTCGTCAACTCCTCCCATGCTCGCCTCCAGGACTTCACTAGAGTCTCCCCCATCCTCTGGAACTCTTTACCCCAACCTGTCCGTCTGTCTCCCACTCGGACTGCCTTTAAGCGATCCCTTAAGACTCATCTCTTCACGGAAGCCTATCCCACCTCAACCTGACCACTAAACTATCATGTTCTCAACCAATTCATCCCCACACAGCTAGCTCCTCATGTATCGCTGGCCCCTCCCTTTTAGGTTGTAAGCCCTCAGGGGCTGGGCCTTTCTTACCATCTTGTCTTGAATTGTATTGTGATTGTAAGGTCTTCCTTATATTGTAAAGCGCTATATAAATCCTGTATCATAATAACACATTTTAAACATCCTCAAACTGGAGCTGAAGGGTGACAATGTGTAACAAATGATCATATGACAGCAGATTTAGGCAAGTATTTCTGGGCATAAAAGAAAAAAAAAAAACAACACACTTTGGGTAGGTGTAGGTGGGAACATGATTATATATATATATACACTGAGTGCCAGTTTATTCTGACCACCTGACGTTTGCAGGCAAATGAGCTATAATTTGGCGCTGAAGTTGCTAGAGGGCCAGACCATTATAAATAGGGAAGCAGGTTGTTTACCACGACAGTAGAAGTGATTTGTTTCTGAAGATACGGGGAAACAACGCGATGTAACAGCCTTATATATATATATATATTTTACTGTATGTTACATTTTGCAGAAGGATTGAGTGGAACACATCCAATTTTCTAATAACACACCAATGCATAAGACATAACATGAACTATTTTAATACACTATGTAGCGTGCCCGTGACTTTTCCACAGAACTGTGTGTACAGTATCATTTTATATTTATACATAGAATGCATTTCAAGAATCTATAGTGGTACTTTTTAATCTTTAGAAAAAAACATCAATGTATCTAAAAAAATTCCAGCAGCTGAGTTTGATTCCTCTTTGGCAGTGGTCCCCGGAATCTGGCCCATTGGCCGGATCCGCCCCTTTGCTTGCCTTGATCTGGCCATTGGGACACTATTCTTCTCACTGACCCAAATAATTGGACACAGTTCCTCCTACTGATACCAACCATGTGGTATAAATCTTCCCACAGATACCAACCATGGGGGAGGGGGGGATTCCTCCCATTGACACCACAGATGGGCATTTCTCCTCCCACTGACCCTAACCGTGGGGCATAATTCCTTTAACTGACACCAACCATGAGGTATAGTTCCTCCCACTGATACCAACCATGGGGCATCATTTATCTCACCGACGCTAACCAGGGGGGCAAAATTGCTCCCACTGACATTAAAGATGGGCATTACTCATCCCACTGACCCCAACCATGGGGCATAAATCCTCCCACTGACACCAACCATGGGGCATTATTTCTCTTACCGACACCGACCATTTAGCATAATTCTTCCCACTGACACCAAAGATGGGGCACAATTTCTCCCACTGACACCACCAAGAGGGCATTTTCCTCCCACTTACACCAACAATGGGGAGTCATCCCTCCCATGTATACCAATGATCGGCCATTATTCTTCCGCCCACTGACCACAGGTACTAGGCCCTTCTTTCTGCTCCCACTTACCACCAAGCCCGGTGTATTTGTTACTCCCACTGACCACCAAGACAAAAGGAATTATTTATTGCCACTGGCACTGGGGAACTTTTACACTCACTGGCCACAGTCTGCCTCCCCAAAAATCTGAAGGGAAGTGACCTGGCCCTGTGTTTAAAAAGTTTGGGGTCCCCTGCTCTATGGGAAGCTCTGGTTACCTGTTCTGTTTATTCGTGTCTTGGTTAATAGCTGAAGACCCCACACGCAAACATTGTGGATGATATACAGCAGGCTGCTTTGTGTTGGGTTTCGCTTACAATGTATTCTGTGACAGCAATATGTTGCGCTTCTCTTCTTTGTAACTTTCCTTGGGGGAACAGCTGTTGCTGCTGTGTAAAAATATCACATTTCCTTCCCTTTCAGGTAGTCATAAACTATTCACTTGTGAAAGGCCTGAAATACAACCAGGCCACGCCAACCTTTCACCAATGGAGAGACGCCCGCCAGGTGTACGGCCTCAACTTCGCCAGCAAGGAAGAGGCTACCGCGTTCTCCAACGCCATGCTGTTCGCCCTCAATATCATGAATTCTCAAGACGGAGGTAAAAAAAGAAAATATCAACACTGTTATATATCACAAAAAGGGATATTTCTGCTTTTCAGTGGATGTTGGCCGGTTGAATTATGCAACAGCTTTTGATGTCTCACGCAGAGTCCAGATGTAGCGTAAAGGCTTTGACACACTGCACGCGAAGCAGCGTGAAGCGGCGGCGCGCAGCCTTCGCGAGCAGTGTGTCATGTAATTTTCTCCTCGGCACGTCGGCTTGCGAGAGCCCGCATAGCTGAGCGTGCCGAGATGAAAAGTTTTATCAACAGCCAATCGGCTCACACGTATAAACCTGCGCGTCAGGATGCGACCTCTGGCCGGTTGTTATGCACGAGCCAATTGGCTGAAGGTGCAGTCAATCATCTGCCTGCACGCACCTCACACACTGCACGCGAAGCTCCGTGCCGGACAGCTTTGCTTTGCTCTGCACGGCTTTGCATGCAGAGTGTCACAGGCTTAATACAGACCGCTAATTTGGGTTAGGACGCCATGTAGTGTGTTCACACCACCTCCTGACACCACGTACCAAGTGTCACCAGAGAACCTATTACAGGTTTCTGCCTAGCCAGGGCAAAAGTAGACAATGGACGCTAGACAGTTTCTTGTTCCCTTGTTGGCTTTATAGGTTTACTTTTAAAACCTGAATTGTAGAAAGGACAGTGGGAAGCAGATGGGTTGCTCTGGGAAACAACATTTTACCTCTCAGCATTTTTTATGAAGGTGCCTGAATCTTATAGTGGCAACTGTACATAGCACAGAAGCAATGAGATGTCTGCAAGTTACTTCACCGCTGTAACCACTTTAACATTAGATTTTCCATTTACCTCGCGCATGGTTGGCCGTTTGGTGGCCCTGGTTCAGCTAACTTCCTCTGAGGTACAAGTGGGGGCGTAGGCTTATGCACCTATGTCAGCATAGGGCACTGGAGTAGAAGCGAAATATGAATGTTTCTGCTGAGAGATATTTTAAAGCTGAACTCTATGCAAATATAAAATACACAAACTGCTGCTGTGTAATCTTTAATACATTGTTAAAGGAAAACTATGGAGTCTTTTCCCCATAGTTCTCCTTAGGGTAACGGGAGGACACGAACTAGCGTCCTCCCGTCACCCTAGGCTCAGTATACCGTGAGCTGCTGCTCGCGGTATACTGAGACGCCGCAGCTGAAGCAGATCCCGACAATTGTGCCGGTATCCGCCCAGCTGCGTGACTGAGAGCTGGCTCTGCCTATCTAAAGGCAGAGCCAGCTGTACCTGCCCCTCCCCATCCGGTCTGCCGTTCAGCGCTGGCGGATCGGAGCGGGAGGGGGGAATCCAGCCCCTCTCCTTTCACAGCAGAGAGCCGTGACAGGATCGAGAGGTAAGCGAACGCCGGTATCTGTTCGCTCACCTCCCGATCTACTGAGCTGACCGGTGACAGTCTCATTGTCACAGGTCGGCTAGAACTATGAGGTGAGGGAAAAGCACTCCCCTCATAGTTCTCCTTTAAAAAAAAAAAAATTCCACATGCAAGGAGTGTAAGTACCTCAATGTGACCTGGCATGAGCCTCTTGCAGCCCCTGTACAGCAGGGCTGGAGTGTTAGAAGCAGCACAAGAAGCCAATCAGTTTATGTGCTGACAAGAAGCATTCTGATAGGAAGAGAAAGCAGAGTGACAGAGAGATGAGCTCATCACTGTGCTGTCCCTTCACTGTCCAGTCACAGGACGGAGGAGGGTCCAGTGTGATCTGGGCTCAGGGGGAGTGGGTTGAATGCTGCTGGCCATCAGACTGAGGACATCTAGCAGCAAAAATAAAATTATGAATGGTCCATTGCAAGCCAGACCACCTGAACTCAGCCTCTTGACGTGTTTCACTTGTATTGAGCTATTGTAGCTCTTACTCTACGAATAAGCCCAATATCAGTATAAGGGCAGCACACAGGTGTTCTGTCTTGCACTGGACCATTCAATTAACTGTTACCCATGAATTTTCACTTGGAGTGCGGCTACCTTTCCTTTAACCAGTATAGATTCTTAAAGTGGAGAACCAAATTTTGTAAAATTTTGTGATAATTAAAACCTAAATTTTGTTCATCCCTCCCCAATGAGAAACACTGGTGCCATTCGTCTTCTCTGTGCAGCACCAATGTTCCCGACTCCTCATGGTGGCACATTCCCGTTTCTTCTTCCCTGCACGTCTCCGTCACATGACATCTGGTCCTCATCTAAGGAGGCCAGAGGCGGACAGGTTTCCACCAGTGACATGCCAATCCCTGACTTTCCAGATAGAGAAAGTGGGGTTGTAGCACACAGACGAGGGCTGAGCAAATAAAGGGCCATGGTGTGCCCATTAGACATGTAAGCTGCAGAAAAATTTGGTTCGGTTCGGATATTACGTTATTTCGGGATTCGATTCAGAAGTTCAATTCTGTTCGGGTTTCGGACGAAATCTGATGAGTTTACGGATATTCGTTGCAAATATCACAGACAACCATATACAGATATGAATACTAAAGCTGAGGCTCCCAGACCCGAATGGCATTTGGGAGCCAAATTGCATTCAGGAGCTCCCAAATCCCATTCGGGTCTGGGAGCCTCAGCTTTAGTATTAATATCTGTATATGGCTCCCATACCCAGAAGGGCATTCGAGATCCAAATTTCCAAATTGCATTAGGGAGCTCCCGAATGCCATTGGGGTCTGAGAGCCATATACATACGGTATATTACTAAAGCTGGGGCTCCCAGACCCGAATGGCATTCGTGAGCTCCTGAATGCAATTTGGAAATTCGGAATCCGAATGCCATTGGGGTCTAGTAGCCTCAGCTTTAGTATTATATGTATATACTGTATATGGCATTATACCAAAAAAATACATCTGATTGGCCAGAAAAGTCACATGTCCGATTCAGTTTAGTTTTTGACTGAAATTTGGACTGTAGCCGAAATTCGGAAACGAAAATTCGGATGCATTGGGATTCGGAAATTCAGATGTGTCGGAGTTTCAGAAAATGTATACGAATTTTGATTCGGAACGAAACTAAATCGCACATGTCTAGTGCACATTACCACCATTATTCAGCTGGTAGAACAAGGTCATTTCATGCAAAGATCACAGGATCCCCGGAAAACTGTAGAGGGGATATGCTGCATTATTTTCAGATATCTATATATATATCTATAGATATCAGGTGGGTTTCTTCTTCTTTAGATCTGGTCTTTTAGGCAGAAAAAAAGCTCTGCATTTAAAAAAATCATAATTTGTGTAAGTACCTGAATTTGGCTTGCAATCCTCTATACAGCAGGGCTCAGACTGGGAAAGGATAAAGCACAAGAAGCCTATTAGTGGCCATGTGCTAAGAAGGAACATGTTGATAGAAGACAACAGTGTGACAGAGAGATGAGTTCATTGGTCTGCTGCTTCTCCTTCACTGTCCAGTCACAAGATGGGGAGGGACAGGACCGGTAAGTGTTACTCAACTGCAGCAGAGAAAAAGGACGTCTCCTTCCCTGCCAGGCAGGGCTGTACTGTCCCCCAGAGCTGTGTAAATCTCAGGGATGGATGGACAGAAATACCAACCCTTTCATGGATAAACAGCTCCCATGTTCGCATTTAATCTGTGTATTTAGCGGTTTGCCTGGAGTTCAGCTTTAACCTTTCTGACTGTCCATCAGCCGGCAGAGCGGGACCTTATGCCGTATTTTACACTGACAAGTGACATACGATGCTGGTCATAGGGAGACGAGCCGAGATCTAGAACGGAGCTCTTGTTTCAGCTTCCTGAGCCGGCTTAGTCCAATACATATATGGTCTAGCAGTCTCCTGGCAGCTTTTCCAGTCCCTGCCGCTGTGATTGGAGAACCTTCTTTCTGTCCAAAATACCTCCTTGGAGCCTTGCGCCGCTTTCATCTCCTGGCTCCGTTTCAATGGACGTTCCCACGTGGCCCTCTCCCCGTTGATGGAATTTGTGGCTATCCGGTGGATACGGATTTGGAGGTGACGGTCCATTGTGTCTGTCTAATGAGTCATCCCGGGTAATGCAGGAGGACTCTTGGCCAATCTGTGCACCAAAAGGGGGAGGTCTCTTTAAACTGAAGTTTTTCATGGTGGCATTTCTGATGTCCTGAGTATGCCAGGTCACCAGGCTGGGCAGAGTCCTAGAAGACAAGTCAGTTTGACAACAATCAGCCTGAGCTGTAAGTATCCATTCAGAGCATGCC